GTTCTGTAAGCCGCTACCAACAGGAACTACAGGAGAGCACATATTTCAGCTTCTTGGTAAATTTATCGAAGAGAATGGCATCGGCTGGATAAAACGCGTCAGAGTTTGTACAGACTGTGCCAGAGCAATGACAAGCCGACACAGCGGTGTAGTTGAACAAATTAGAGAGGTTGCTCCAGATATGAAGTGGACACCGTGCAGCATCCACCGTGAGGCCTTGGCAGTCAAGAAAATGCCTGACAATTTTAAATCTGTAAGACTCTGTTGTGAACTGTATCAAGACTCGACCAATGAATTCACAGCTGCATTTCCTCGACTAAACAGGCTCATCCCTCTCACTGAAATGGTGCTTTTTTATTGTTTATTTTTAATTGTTGTTGTTCCTTTTGTCATTCTGTAAAGCGCTTTGAGAAGCCACCTTTAAAGGCGCTTTATCAAATAAAGTTTATTATTATAATATTTATTACAGTATATGTGTATGTGAGTGTGTGCACACATGTGCGCTCATGTTGGTCATTGAGATTTTCTGGGGTTCCTATGTGAAGATGACTAGTAGGTGGTACATGGATGCTTTGGTTTGATCAGGGGTGGTACTTGGTCCAAAAAGTTTGAGAACCACTGCTTTATCCCATGGTCCAAGACACACCAGTTTCAGTAAATACTGTATGCTTCTGAATCACATGCATCTGTGCAGCATTCATAGAAATATATTTAAATATTCAAACCAGAGTTGTTGTTTTTTTTACAAATATTACTCTTAATATAGAGTAAATAATATACACTCTAAATTTAGAGTGTAAATGCATCCTTTCCCTTTCCACATCAATTAGGCCCTTTGAAATGCAACTTTAGTAAGCAGTATTAAATTTGCTCATCAGAGCCAGCCCACAAATTGATTAAAAATCATTACTTCTGATCACTGACATGAGATATAATGTGCACTGTGGCATTCAGTATTGGATCCCTGAGCACTGCACTTACAAGCATCAGCAAAATTGTAACACCAAGGACAAACGTTATCATCTTACCAATGCACAGAGAACACGACGTGCCCAAGCATCCCAATAACACATGAACACTGCCAAGGGGTACATAACACTTAGTTGGCACTAGATCCATCTGTGTTACAAGGAAAAGTGCAAGTGTCACTGTGCGAAGTACGCTTGTTGAGGTGGCTGCTTTGTCTTCTCATTTATCACTGTGGGAATCTGAAGGCAAGCATCACGCTTTCCAAACAAACTACAAGATAAACAAAACGGCAGCAGTGGGAGACACATCTACCTACGCTATTTAGAGAATGAATTTACATCTATGAACCCCCACCGCTGAAATGCAGCACCAGGAAGAATGAAGGTGTTGTAGCTGTTTGCTGCATTTTTTATTTCTGAGTTTCCCATGTAACTACTTATAAGCTTATTAATTAAAAAAGTACAGAGTTCTAGTAGTAAATCATATTAATTGCCAAAGTCTTAACTTCTCAAGTTCAACATTTGTGAAGAGAACCAAACTGAACAGTAATTACTGTACATAGTCATAGCTTCCTTTCAGAAATCTACCCGTCTTGTCTGTGTTCACATATAGCTTTTAATGAGCGGCAGAAAATAAGAACTGGAACTCCTTAAAGAAATGGCACCCTTCTCCGTTAAAAATTAGCATCTGCAAATCGCTCCAGTTCAGCCTTGACACTCTTCCGAAAGACAGGATATTGTAACGCAATGGAGCTTGGGTGGGCGCCCTCGCCTGCTGCCTACACAGGTCGGCCCGTGGCCGTATCCGTTACACTCTTCCCCGCTTAACTCACCGTCCTCGGCGAAGGGCTATCCCATCCCACTCCTGACACCAATGTAACACATACGGCCACCAGTGAGTGTGTAAGAGCCGGCTTACCAGAGCGATGACGTCACCGCCCTTCCCTGTAATAGTAGGACCACAGCCACTGGGCTGGGGGGAGATCTCTCTTTAGCTCACCAGGCTGGGTCCCTGTTGAGTGACGCCGGAGGCCAGGGTTCGCGTCCCTGACGGTGCAGCAGGCGAGGGCGCCCACCTGAACCTCGTTGCATTACAAAATGATTCCTCACATGGTCACTTGTTCCTACTGTTTAATTCACAAAAATGAAGCAGACAGAATTAGTGTCAGATGAGGGGCTCTAATATGACTATATATAATATCTGAAAGCTCTAATATCACTCTGGTTGTGACACAGGTCATGTCAGAGTTCCTGTGGGATCATGGGGTTTAAAGTAACTGTTCAGCTTTAACTATGCAGTTATGTCCTTTTTTCAGAAAGCTACAAATGAAGCACTTCTCTTTCCTACGCATTTTCTACCAATGTAACCAAGACATAAATTTATTCTATAAATACTGTAACACAAGCAAAGCTCTGCATTTGAATTTTCAAGAGGTTTTGTAAGAAGTTCAGGGATTTCTTTCCCTGCAAAATCTGTGAAAGAAGTCTTGTTCTGTTGTTGGTTGCTGTTAAAGATAAACAAATTAGATTGCAGTTCAACACTTCAGAAAAGCTTGCCAGGAAACAACAAAACTTCACATTAGTTACTGTGAACAAATTATTACAAGTCAACATCACAGCTGAGTGCTACACCTAAGGTACAATAGGTCTAGGAAGCAAAGGTCAGAATTCCATGTTATGGAACTTTCTCTAAACCTGGAAATTACAAAACTGCTTTGATAAGGTACAGAAAGTCTGGAACTTAAAACTTATAATTCACACAATGAAACAGGAAGAACACAAAAATGAAGAACACACCATGGTTATCATATTCTGACCACTGCTTTATGACCCCTGTAGTGATGATTACTTTGAAAAGCTTGAGGTCTCGAAATGTGAGAAGCATAAAAACTTTCTTCTAGAATGGTAACTGAAACTAGTGTGTGCTGATTATATCACTGTAAAAGCCAGGATCTCGCATGACATTGTGTATGTCAGCTGCACAGGATACTTTCCTCTGCAGGACACAATAAAAAGGACATTCAATTCTCTATCCCAAATGCACTCTAATTTAAGAGCAATACTGACACCTTGTGGAGCTTCCAACAAATACTACAGTTTAGGTTTAGGTTAATAAATTCAGAACATTACATGTTTCATTTGGGATTAATGCAGTTCTGTAGAGGATATTTAATAATTTATCTCCAGAACAATCTTAACTCTCTCTTATGTACTCTTCCCTATCTATCAATAGTGCAAACACAAATGTCAGGGCCATTTGTTAAGATCATTGGCTAAAGGTCTAAGATCAGAATGTTGGAATACATTCTTAACAAGCTTTCAGAGCCTTTTAGTACTCTTAAGCTTGTATATCTGAGATATAAGTATCATTGTAATCGTCAGTGTTGTGTGTCAGCTGTGTTCAGCTTTGGGCACTGTAAATAAATTTCAGAATCACCAGTCTGAACTAAAAGATCTTTTAATTAAGGATGTGCTGTGCTTCCTATTTGATTTTGTTTCTATTCTCATCCAGTGAGATTGAGGAAAGAATACCCAAGCCTGAACTCACAACATCTGAGCCATTCTGTCTTCAGTCGGCAGAGTGTGGTTTCAGCACTGCCATTGTTTAGAAAGACCATGCTTAGAGAGATATTCAACAAATAGCTTGAGACAGAACTTAATAATATTCTAAGATCTTTACTCTCCTTTTCATATCTTTCTTATTCTACCGAAATATATCTCTGAACACAAGTAAAAATAAGTAATTCTGCCTTTATACAGCACTTTCCATCCCAAGGTCCTCAGAGTGTGTTCACATTGCACAGGCACCACTTCCATCCACACCGAAGTGCAGCACCCACCTGTAGGTGGCAGGCATTATGTACCAGCAGCCCCACTACACAGAAGATAAGGAGAAGTAGAGAAGGAAGAAACTGCTTTATTAATCTGCATTAAGGGAGAACATTAGGTAGACCAGATTGGGCAAGCCAGAAGTGGAATTTAGCCAGAACACTGAACAATACAATTCTATGGATCCTTAATGACCAAGTAGTCAGGATCTTGTTGTAACAACTGATCTGAAGCATATTACCTCCTAAAGCACAGGTATTTAGTTGCAAATTATGGTCCAGAAGAGAGTGCAACCTACTGATTGGTCAACAGCTCTACCTACAGTGGTATACCATGTGTCCTTAGAGGTCTACCTTTCCTCTACTGGCCAGACCTACCACTAGCTTCTGAGATTGCTCTGAGTAGATCAGGCTACAAAGTAGTCACTCAACTGAAAACAAAAGGGGTTAATCTATTTCAAGTGAGAATTGTTTGGAATGCAAATATCTTTTGCACTCCAATCTGCTTTTGAAACAGGATCACACAATTTTTATCCCAGGTTTGCTCACAGAGTTTAACAAGATATGGATTAGTGGCTGATAGTTAAAAAAAATAGCTGCCACTTGATAGTTGTCACAGAAAATAAATTACCTGAAATATTACTGGGCATCTACTCATCCTTTACAAATAATGAACGGGATGTACAGTATGTTATTTATTGCTTTGCGGTACAAACACAAGTGCATTCAGACATTATCACATCAGGATGAGTCATATAAAAACAGAAAATTACTGTATGTACTTAGCCCCTATTACAATTTTAAATTTACCCCTACTATCCCTTTTGATTCAGCAAAAGGGATATGTTTGGACTGTTGTTAGCTAGGACCATTTTACGAGCAGGGATTTTCTTGTTCATACTATTTTGGTTTTCATAATTTCTCACATTTCTCACAAAACTATACTTAACAATCAGCTGAAATAGAATTCTCTTGGGAAATTAGATTAACTGAAGGAAAAAAAAACTCATATTCCAGTTCCTAGTTCTAAATAAAAACAAATCACACTCTGTAAGTGATGACAGACTGACATGCAGATTCCTGCTGTGCATATAACTTGTGAAACTATATTTTCAATTTATTTTCTAAAATAGGAACTGCACTTTGCATTAACATGTTTCTATAAGCTTGAAAAGAAAATGTTAATACTGAAATCAACAATTACCTGTTCAAGGCTTCTGGCCTGTTGTAGCAGTTCTTCTCTGTATCCTTCTGCGCGTTTTGCGTGGAAAGAACTGCTTTGGCTTTGAATGACAAAAACGATCTCCTTCAAATCTAAAAGACAAGTGAATAAGGCAGTCTGAAATCCCCTTTCCTCAGACGTTTACCTTAAAGACAGTTTACAGACACAAATTTCAACATATTCCATGAATATTGTGAAGAGTTGGTATTCTTACCAAAAACTGGTACAGAACCATATGCCAAATCATTAAAAAGCTGTAACAAGGTGAAACCCTGAAGAAAAGGTTATCTGTACGAACCAAACAAAAGAAGACCTCACAATTTCATCGTCTTCACTGGGAATTCTGTATTCAAGCCAAAACGGTTTCCCACAGGGCATTTCAGTCAATGGCACCTTGCCAACACATAATATATTTTTCAAGTCATCTAGAGCGCACAATTGCTTTTCAGAAACTTTTAAAAGCAATAGTCGTTCAGGATCATTTGCTTTCTCCTTTCAATTTCTTGCTTATTTCATAGAGTTCTGTGGGTTCAGTGATTTCCCTGCTGTCATTTCTGCTTTGATTATCCTTTGTCATGCTCACTAATAAATGGGAAAAAATAGACTTTTCAGAGTCTGAAGAGAGGAAGCGTACCAGGATAAACAATGTAATCTGTTACAAGTGGGCTTCACAGGACTGTTTATAATTTACAGTGTATAATAAATTCAAACACATAATAAAATCCTGATAAATATAAAAATAGCTATTTAATAAGAAACAAGAACATTTACTTAAGTAAAAAATATTTCCATGAAATACACACTTACCTGCACAATCTGTAGCTATCTGTGGAGTGTAGCTAAATCACTCCATAATCACACCTTATTTGTTCTTAACTTTTACTGTCAGATTAAAGTTAGGCTTCATTTGCAAATTAAAAATTTCCAGGACTGCTATTATCATTACAAACTTATATTAAATACAGACTCCTTACTGTATGTCTAAAGATCATACATACGGTTACATCTAGAAAAATATATATTGACGAGTAATAAATAGCTGACTGGCTTGGATGCCCAATAAAAAGTTATTCCTGAACAGCTGCCACCCTCTGAACTGGTTTCTCATTGAGGGATTAAAAGGTATGGAAATGGCAACACAAAATACTTCTAGAAAGCGAATACTATATATGAAAGGTCAGTTATGGTAAGCTAGAACAATCTCTAGCTGCATATGCTGAATTCAGCTATGGGACCTCCATGTTAGGCACCAGCACCTTCTCATAACATGAAAACTTTAACAATTTAATGCCTAATACTTTAAAACGTAGACATGAAGAGTAAGGGAACAGAACAGGATGTGGCAGCCTGCGATTTGCTGCACCACTGACATATCACAAACTCCGCGTGCTGCCAGAGTAGATTGCCGGGAGGCTCAGAGGATGAATTCTGAATGAGCAAATATGCTGCTTTATTTTATTACGGTGGTGGCAGAGTGTGATGACAGGAAAGGGGCCCCATGATAGCCAGGTTTGCGCCTGGCTCACCAACAATCTGGCAGGGAGCAGCGAGCTGATGCTTACCTGTGCAGCCCACAGGAGGGGGAGGTGAGGGAAGAGCAACTGCAAAGATGGAGCTCAAGTCCAAATGAGTTTGAAAGTTTTGGATTGAGATACGAACTGTTAGTCACTGGTGCACGTAACAGTCAATTTGGTCGATTAGAAGTGACAAAACTGAGGAGGCCTCACCAGAACAGATTTGCCAGACCCCAAGTGTGTTTGGGCTTGAGGGGCTGAAAGAGCTACAATACCTCTTGTGGTTCAGCCTCTTGGGAGAACCACCAGGGCTAAACTTTAGAATTGTCTAAGACTACACAAAAGTATACTGCTTGAACATGAATCGCTCATGGTTTAAAAAAACTCTTGTTTTTCATAATGCTTTCTAATTTCTGATTAATGCTGCCATTTTTTTAAATCAAACAAGTGCTTTGAGGTGTCTGGTGAAAGCTCTGCTGTCCTCTCCTGGGAACAATTACACAAAGAGGCATCACAACTGTTCAGAAAGCTGCATTTAAAAAACTGCTGCTTTAAAACTTCTCCAACTCAACAATATACTGGTTATTGGGCAAACATTTTTCAATTTAGTGCAAAGAATGTATCCTTTCTCCTAAAGCCTCTATTTTTCTCCATACTTCAGCAAAGAGTAGTCCTCTGATTACTGGATATACTTTGTAAATCTCAGTGAGCTTATATCCGCCATCAGCCACCAGGCCCGCAAACACTGCCAGTTTTTGGATTCAAGTTTTCAGTAACTCTGTTAAGTCTAATAGTCCCTGTTAAATCTCCTACTGCTGACTTTCTGAATTGGTTCTGCAAACCATAAGGTGGCCCACCACGAAAATGCTCAGCAAGGCAATAAAACCTGTAGCGCATTTAAAATGGCTGATTAAACCCTTGTGAGCTTCTGATAAATGCAGTGCCTGTCTGCTGATAAGCTAATAATACATTATTAATGCTAAATTCTAAAAAACTCAGTGTAAATCCTTTAGATGGCTTCTTCATTAACAGGTTTACATACATAATCAACATTAAAAGAATTTGTGAAACAAGTTGGAAAGAAGAGAGAGATCTTTGTAAACATGTTTTTTTTAATTATTATTTAAAAAGGCCATGGAACTCTGTGACATATATTTATGGTACGTTAAAGGACTACACCAAAGAAATGCTTTATTACTTCATTGATAAAAAGAAATCTACTCATTATAATAAACTCATAAGAAAACCATCTCATGCTCAGGAATAGATGGAAAAAGTCCTATATTGATAAGTTTCCAGTCGCCACTGAGAGTAAACTGAAATTACCCCTGTTCATTTCCATAACTCCAAAGCCACATAAAAATGCTTTGTAGTGTTACTGCAAAGGTACAGCTTAGATTTTTATAGTCAGAGACTATTCCACATAGCACACTTAGAATGACCAATTACTTCCGCAGTAATCACCTCCGCTCTACAAATCTCAGTTAGACAGGATGGATGAGGAAACTGCATGTTATTTATTTCTAAATCTTTGGCCATTTTCTGCACTGCAACCTCCTTCAGTTAACAGTGAGATGAGGTCTGATACAGGTCTCACATATAGCACTGTAACTTCCTTAGAGTGCTAGATTCCTATACCACAGCCAGTTTATTGCTCCATAGCTAGCTCAAACTCCACAATACTGGCAGGGCTTGTCATTTCATTTACCACCCAGAAATCTTCACCACTTGAGCCACAATATAAAATACAGTGCTCAGACTACTCTCTGAAAACATAGAGTGCCCCAATAAAAAGTATTTACTTTTTAGATGTAATGACTTTCCAAGAACATAAAAAAATGATTGACAGACACATAATTAAACAGTCATCACATAATAAGATAAAATCACCTGCATTAAGAGGCTTGACATAGAACAAAAATACTGATGCTTTAAAACTTGTTTCCTATAATACCTAATCAAATTACTTGTAAATGAGGAATATGTAAGAGCCAGTACTACCCTACCCTTTTCAGACAGATCTAAATGGATACCCCGCTGCTGTATATAAGACTAGCAATCAGAAGCAATGTCACCAATCAGTTAGTCGATCTGATTACCTTGCACAAATTTAAATGGCACCTTCAATGCCAAAAACAAGACAAAAGCACTCCTCAACAGCAAAACAGAAGAGGATTTTATAGCATTCAGTGTAGGTGTCTGGCCAGGAGTATAAACTGCATTAAATAACACAACGCCATGCAGAGAAACCCTGAGAGTGAGCATAAAAGCAGAGAATAAATCACTTCAATGAGACACTATCTTCCAAAAGCCATGGAGAACACACAAATGTTAAGCTTTTATCTAAGCTTTCTTTATACAGTCTATTCCACAGAGAAGAAGCAACAGAGATAAAACGCCTCCTTCCTCTCCGGAATAATTTAGAACAAAGTACAAAAAGGGAGTGAGCATCTGTCTGACATGAATAATGTGAACAACTGAAGGTAGCATACTTTACATTGTCTTCCTCCTCCTTTGGGAAGGGAGTGTGGTGCAGGAATTAGCACCACTGTTATTAGCCCTTTCCATTATGATGGGTTAGACTTGGATACATGGCATTGTAACTGACCCCCCACTTTTAATTAGCTTGGGGCAATTAATTTCAGTACCTGTTGAGTGAAATTTTATTAACTTCTCCCTGGAGAACTGAAACAACTCAGGATCAAATACTGCAAAAGACTATCAGCAATCCCTCTGTCACTACTCTTCGTGCCTTATAATGCAGCCAGCCAGCTCTTGTAAGACCACGAATGGCTCTTCTCAATGAGAATTTCTGGAAGGGTGGTGTTGCACCATTAACATTGAGGATTCTGGCAGAATTGCAGGTTTCATCATACTGTAATTTTCGAGCAGATGTGCAGGCTCAGTAAAACAAGTCAGCGCACCTTTGACCTCAACGGCCACAAACCTGAAGTCAATGGCCTTTCAAACCATCAGCTACTGTGCCCACCATAAGTATTGGGACTGGGAAGTCAGAATTGCTATTTTTGCTGCATACTCAAGCAAATTCGGATTTGAGATGTAAATTAAGGTCTCAATCCATGTAAGACAAAAGTACAGAATGCCACCTTTTATTTCTGGGTATTTTTATGCATATATGCTTTAACATTTTAGAATATTAATACTTTTTGTGTTCCATTATTCCCCATTTTCGGTGAGTATTATTCTGCACTGTAGATATCCCTCCTCCACAAGTCTACTGTCAAAGAGGATTTATAGTGACTTTAAACATCTGCTAGTCAGTGCCAAGGATTGGTCATGTATGCCTTAAATAAATGATTTAAATGAATTAGTGTGTCATTTTGTGGCATTCTTTAAACATAGAACACAGGAAATAAGCCTGTTTATGCCTCCACAGTTGACATGTTCTTTATGTGACCAATTGTTGCCCACTGCTCTGTTTTTAAAACTGGAATCTCAATGTCAAGAGAGACATATCAATATGTAGTGTCATACTCTGTCAGGGAGCTATTAGTCTGATTCACAGAACAACAAAACTATCTATTTCTGTTTGTGACTGCTGTGCAAAAAGCAATCGGCTTAGGCATGAGAAACATTGTCAATAGATTAGATTTCTGTATAGGGCAGAAATCCTTCTCATTCGAATGCTGATTGTTCCTCTGTAAAACTGTCATGCATGAATGAGTCGCATCATTTCTACCTATAGATTAAAAGATTTTCTGCAATCAAGAACTAGTCTTTCATTTTTTTTCTACTTTTTTTTCTCCAGCACTGCGACTAGAGGGTTTTATTTCTAGAAAGCCAAACAAAATAGACAGAGAAATCTAAATGTGTAAATATATGAAAACAGAAAATCCGAATAACTACAACTTCAGTACGGCATGTACCAATTTACAGATTAAATGCAAGTGTGGGATGACTGATAATGTTAAGTGGGCTATTTTATTCTAATTAAATTCTGAATAGCACCAGTTCATTACACGCAAACTTTTTTCTGCAACATTTGAAATGTATAGCTTTTATTGGATCAGCATTCAATAATATAGGCAAACTAATCAAACTATTATAGCTATATACTGTATATAGACAATATACAGAAAACTATATATACTGTAGACAATAGCTACTGCCTTTTTTTAATCTGTGTCACAATGAAGAGCAATTTACACCTAACACCTAATTGCATAGTTCCACCCATCCACACATCACTGAGTCTTGAGAAGGTGCTGAAATTGGTAATAAACTGGTGTTTGTGCTATAAAGGTGGTGTTATCAAAACTCTTCCAAACACACAAGGACAAAAGTTGAAACCAACATGGCAAAGAATCAGCAGTTAAGCAACAGTGCTTAAAAAATGTTTCAACGAGGCCTATTTTATTTTTTCTTCTGTGATAGACAACAGAACACTTAAACAAAACATGCCAAATAATTCTACTTTAGTTTCATATACCCTGCTGTAGATGTTTAAGTTCAACACTTCAAGGTTTAAACGGGCAAAGCATAAGGCCAAGCATCACTTGTGTATCATCTCAAAAGGTTAGTTTCAAAAGAAACTTGTGGGTGTTCTAATAAAAGAACAGGGGGATAAAGATTTTTTGCCCTGAACTCTGAAGCAATTTCCATGGGTATTGAAAAATTAAAGAGCCTCATTAGAAGTCTCTCCCTGCAACCAACTTTCATGGATGTCAAGACACCACACCTTAATGCAGAGTTAAGAAGATTTCTTTTAATCAGACTCATCACAAATTCAGCAGTCCATGCCCCTAAAGATTACTCTTATAATGAGTGCTGAATACAGGCTTAAACTCCTCTTTACATCAATAATTTAAGCTCAGAAGCAATTTATTCCTCACAGATTCAGAATGCAAAGTTTCACCGCGAGGATTTATCTGCATGACTTTTTAAAAATTGCATGGAGTCAACTTATTTTTTGCTATAAAAAGGCCAAGCAAACTGTAGTTCAGTAGCTATACGTCAACCCTGTTAAAAGTTTTCTAACTAGATTGCATAAAAGGTATGGAATAGGGCTAATGGAAGCACAGCCAGCAATTATGTCACAGAAAACAAAAACAATTTGGAGGCAATCCAGACACATATCTCTGATACTGTACTCTTTCAGTTTATATTTAAAAATACAATTAAAAAAAAACTTTCCTAATCAGGAATGTTGATCCAAATGTTTGTCTTCATATTGTGACATCCTACTCTTCCAACCTCTGACTTGTCAATAATTATTTCACCATAAGCACAGTTTAATTTCACATTGCTGTGAGACTTCTGCTCACCCCACTTCACACTATGCTAAACTTAGTGATTTTCTAAACGTGCATGCAATAAATGGGATATACTGTAAAAAGGACATAGACAATTGTGCTTGAATTTCCAAAAGACACTTGGTAGACCCAATACATTTGTTTATATAAAGTAAATGAAGATGCAAACCTATTTTTCAGAGGGTATAATACATGTTAAATCTGAACCCCAAGCTTCTCTCCCTGTCTGTGTGTCTCATGGAGAGCAAGTTGGGGTATGCGAAAAGACAAACTCCTCATACAAGAAATTGTACAGTATATGGCCAATAAAGTGATCTTATCTTATTAGGCAGCTCTAGTAGAACTGGTGAAGAAAGATCGGACGAATACATTTGATCAACCAAGTAATATGAGTAATATACTGTAGTTGTTTTACATTTGTATTACACTCCATGTAATAAAAATGTGGACTTGTAGAAAAAACAAAGCATTTTGGCTTGGAAAAAATACAGCTCCAACAACATCTAATACTTTACTTCTACATCTCGTAGAAGTGTGAGTATTAATATAACTTGATGATCGATTTATTCTCCAGGAGTAAGACAGCGTATGGTGGGGGTGACGTTTGCCATCCCATCAGGTGGGCTTCTTTGTCAGGAACCTTTTCCACTGAGCTGGATGCATCTCATTCTAGTTCTTTCTCAAGCCAGAGTCATGCCAACTCCTTGATCGTGGACCAGTGGCTTCTGAAGCCTAAAAACAACAAAACTGCAGAGATGAACAGGCCAGTGCAGCTTTTTCTGCCTCAAAAAATCAACTCGGCTTTGATGTTCTGTTGTGTTGGGGGTTTTTCTCCCCACAGACAATAACACAGGCCCTTGCGCCAACTTGGCTCCCAAGTGTGTCAGGATACATAACATTGCCTGAGCGTGATTTCTGAACTCACTCACAGCGCTACATTTGTGCTTTTCCACAGCAAGTGCTTATGAAGCAAATGAGGGCCTGCCAGCTCCTTTTGATGCATTTTCTTGAGCTCTTGCTTTCATTGTTGACCCAGTTCACAGAACAAGAGGCACGTTAAAGAAACTCACGATTGTGATGCTTTTGATTTTTCAAGTAGAATTCAAACACAACAACCCACTATTAACCCTAAGAGTCTAAATTTATTTGGGATTTTTAAAAGACAAATAACTAATTATATATCATAACCTTCAATAAATTAAAAACGAAAATATATATTTTAAGGCATTGGAGATTTCAATGCGAACATGGTAGAGTCCTATTAAAAATATAACTTGGACATCTGCATTATCACATTTCAAGGTGGTCTGTAATTCATTAGTTTTCCAAAATGTTTGAAAAAATGACATACCTGTAAATGTGAAAAAAATCAGATGTCATTCCTTGAAGGTTTTGAAGTTTTATGGGCACAGTACAGATAAAAGAAGAAAATTGTGCCCAGTTTATTTTCTGAAAGTCATATAGGCAATCAAGAAAAAAGAAAATATGCACATTTTCAATTACTTTTTTGAAACTTTAAAATATAAATGCAATATCAAATAAATACAAATCTGAACAGCCAGTGTAACTAAGTAACAAGGGCATTTCTAATTTCTGAAAACATTATTTGGAAATTATTTAATTAAAAAAATAGAAGAAATATGATCAAAAGTACTTAAATTCCATTCTCCCATTAATTTATTTCTTACCTGGTGTATTTGTTTGTTTACTGTTGGGAACTGCATTCCGCCAAAAAATGATTCTGATGCACAAAGCCCTGAGGATTTTGTTTTATTCAAATTTTTACACTTTGTTTTGATTTGTGCTTTTCCATTTTTCTCTAGTAACTCCAAAAACCGTAAAAACGCTTTTTTGTTTGCTTGAGCATTTTGGCAGGAGCTGAAATTAATAATTGTCTGAAAGCATTCCTTCACCTGAACCTGATTAACATTCATTCTCAAGACACAGAAACAAAGAACTACACTGTAAAAGTTTTTTTTAATTTTATATTAAAATGTCAAAGACTGAAGCTTTTATTGTTTTAAACTGAGAAAGTCTCACACAAATTTACCTCATATTTGCTTTGTAGTCATGGAATAAAGCTAAACTAACAAGAGGGACAAATAATGATCCAATTAATGAACAACTTCCTTCACAGAAAGAGAGGCAAAATCTATTTAAGGAATGAGGCAATTAGCAAGGGAACAAGAATACATTAAAACATCTTTGCTTCTAACAATCCAATTCGCACTTATTTAAAGGTTAGAATGTCTAGCATTCACAGTCAAAGAAAATCAAAATGCACACAAACTCACCTAATTGCCTTTCATTGAAATGTTGATCATTTCTCTGAATCTGTAAGGAACACAAAGAAATTAGAAATTCCCCAAAATATTAGGCTATGCTATACAACACCACACACGACATATCACCTCTGCAAAAACAAAATGGTACACTCACTGAAGAAATACCGTACAATCACTGCTTTCGTTTTACAACAGCTTCTCCTTAAACTTCAAATTTATCTTTGTTGTTTGTAAAATGTGTGCTCCAGTTATTCTGGGAACCTTTTCGTGATCAACACTGGCTGACTGAAAGTCCAGCCACGGTGGATCACAGTGTCCTCTGGTTTTTATTCCATCACTGGCAGTTATTTGCTCATCCAAACTGATGCGACACCCCTTTCAAGCACGTCTGGTAAAGCTGAAGGGGCTCGTGATTCAAAGTGCAGAGCCATGTGAATTCCCTGAAGTCTGGAAAGAAGTGTTCCATCACACAAACCAAATAATTAATCAGTCAAGAACTGGGGTAAAACTGAAAGCCAGAAAGCACAAGAGGCCCTTCAGGAACTAAATTAGATGTTTCTACAGAAGACCTTCATCTAGCAAAGCTCTAGTTTGTGATCAGATCAATCCATAAGGTGTATGGAAGTCTTAACCACTTGCTGCTTCTCTTTGTTCTTGGCATGTCTCAATCAATGGATAATAGGAAGTCAAAGGTGCTTCACTGGCGAGTGTATAGGACAAGTACTGTCAAAGCCAAAACAAAATAACACAATAACTTCTCAATTAGAATGAGTCAGATGGACAAATATTTCACCCTTCTCTCACCTTCCTACTCTTGTTCCATCAAGCTCTATTTTCAGTCATCTTTCCTCTGCGTTTCTTATCCTTCCTTCCCACCCTCATCCTCTCGTCCTCTCGTCCTGTCCCTTATGCCTGTGTCACACTACATGACTTTTCACAACTAGGATTTTCAGTTGTAGCCTTCATTTACATAATCGTAAGAAAATCACAGCTAGTTGTCGAGAGTCGCAGCGTGCGCCTGTAACCAGTTGTGTAGTGTGACACCCCCTGCAACTCGGTCATAGTGCTCGTAACAGCCCCTACGACTCTCTATGACTTGCTACGATAAAATCAAACTGGTTTGATTTTCTCGCAGTGAGTCGCAAGTCATAGGGGTGGGAAGTGAGCCACATCTCTACTTCTGAAATAATGTGCCCATTATATTACAAGTTATAGCGCAAAGGAACAAGTAATAGGTTTATTCCATGCTGAAAAAAAGAAAAGGGAAAACACAACGTTTCGGCCGTGGAGCCTTCATCAGGTGTGAGAGAGACAAGGCAGTGGGCAAAGGTAATGTAGCGGGAGGACAAAGGCTGGGAGGGAGGAGGAGTGAGAGGCGGGAGCAGGGGACAGAAAGAGAGGCCAATCAAGAGGTGTGAAGTCAGAATAGGTGCAGAGAGGTGTGAAATGAAACTTCCAATGAATGGAGAAAAGTTTAAAGAAGATTAGTCTGTCATTAAGAGAAGGGGGAATTTGTGATCGTTAAGAGAAGGGGGAATGTGTGATTGTTTCCAACATTTGTGTTTTTTATTTTTAATTATATTTTTGAAGATGTTTATTTGTGGAAAACAATGTCAGTGTTACATTTTTCATGATGTTTACATGCTTGTTCTCCATGTTGTTTATTTACTTTCGTGCGGTGCTCCTCTTCCTATTCCCGTGTGCTCCACGTTGATTGGCTGCCAAAAGGAGGCAGTACTCGCAGTACTTTCACGGCGCAACAAGAGATTTGGAACCGTGATAAAAAGTCGTGAGGGAAATCATGTAGTCACCCCCTGTGATTCCTAGTCACATAATTTGACAACCTCTAAGACGGAAAAGGCAGCAAGATTCAGCAACTGCAGTCGTTAAATTTGACATGCCCTCCGACTAGAAGTTGTGTCAAGTCGTGTAGTGTGACACCGGCTTTAATCAATCACAGCCCTCAGTCTTATGAACATAAGAAAGGTTGCAAACAAGATGAAGCAATTCAGTCCTTTGGAGGCCTTTATCTAATTGATCCAAGAATCTCATCCAGCTGTTTCTTGAAAGAACCCAGGGTATCTGCTTCAATGACACGGTACTTTATTAGATTGTTTCAGGCTGCTCACAATATATTTACTCAGTGTCTCTGCTGAACAGCTACATACCGGCCAGCCAGTGGAACTTTGTGTTGGTCCTCTTTTAACAAGTCTCATAATTTCTTGTTGTTATCATGAACACTGCTTAGCAAAACACGGGGGGAAAAAATCACTGGAAAGCCATTTATAGTAAGAGAACTAGTGGAACAGCAATAACAAGAAAAATAATTTCTTTTTGAAAAAAATGTCATGAGAAGTATTCCTTTTTTAAAGAGGGCAAACTATTCTGGGCATGTGACACAAGATGAAACACTCTAATCTCTTAAACAAGTCTCAATCCTCAAAACGTCTTAATTCCTGTCCATGAGAGCTAGAAGTAACATGGCACTTTTTATATCCAGGGATATAAGATGTAAGATTTAATCCCACTGAGTGTAGCGCTGAAGATTCAGATACAGATGTACAATTCTTGTACAATAATTTGTTGTTGTTTTTTTCATTTTTGAAGTGCCTTCATTTAACCAGATGACAGGGATGCCTTTTGCCTTTTTTCCTCACCTTAACCTTATCGTTTGCTCATATTTCATTCTTGTTAAGACAGGAGCTGGTCAAAACCTTCAAGGTATTCTAAGTTAATAAAGCTTGAAAGGAAAAGCTCAACGCAAACCACTGAGACATGCAGATCTTTTCAGGCTTGGTTATACTAATCATTTATCAACAAAAAATGTCTTCACTCCACTGAATTCAGTACAGTGCAGTGGAAATACCTACCCAGGCAGCCATGATTTTAGTTGAAATGTAAAAAGAAAGCCCTTAGCAATTTTAACAAATAATACACAAGCCGTGTCTTCTAAAAAGATTCTTCCTAATTGTCGGTTTTCAACCCACAGGCAGCAAAACTGCTTTGCTTCAAGGAGTGCTGTATCCTCAATTAAAGTATTCCTGCTTTCTCTTGCAATAGCTGTCAAGAGTTTTGCTTATCGGAAACCAAACCGAGTAATCAAAATCACTGCATTAAAAAGATCCTTGAAGCAACGTTCTTTCCTTTCTTCCTCAATCTGTACAGCACAAAAATAAATTACAAATCTCTTCAGTTCTTACCTAAGCCACACAACCAGTGACATACTGAAAGAACGTATTAAGCTGAAATTGTTTTGATTTATAAACACCTTTAGACTGACAATTACTCTATTCCTGGCAGAATAATTTGCTATCCTTTTCTCTGTCGTTTATCTGAAACACATTAAACGATTCATAAATCATTATTGAGGCGAGTGTGTCACTTTTATTTGCAAAGCATCACACTGCCTTACAAAGCACAGCGATGGCATTCTCAGAGGTCTACCAACATATCCATTTAAGATGCAGCTAAACAAGCACAGGAAACAGCAACATGCCTTAATCTCCTATTTCAAACAATGCAAACAATTGCTCCTTCAGCCTAGTGCTGTCAGTTTAGCATGTTTTTAACAATATTTGTAGAATTTATTAACTTCCTACGCTGTTTTTTTTTTTAAGGAGTGCTCTGGTTGGTAGTTTCACTCCAAACTATGTGAAACTCAGAACATAAAGGTTTGGAAACAAGAAGAAGAGGAGTTTCGGTTAATCTAACAATGGTTCTCAAACCGTGGTATGTGGAGTGTCCCCAGGTGGTACTGTACGCCAGATGACCCTGGAAATTTGTTGTGTGCACTGCAAATTTTAAAATTATGTATATTTTTCATGTGTAATTTACTTAATCAGTTTCAGAAAGCTTGAGACGGGTATTCATATTTTCTGATTTAATAAACTTGTAAAATACGCAGCCTACGTACTTAGCTACGTGGATATGGCACGCGCTAATACTTGAGTGTTCATACTCCTCTCGGGCTTTCAGAGATACGTTCGCCAACAGAACAAGTGATCGAAAATGAATAACTCGCAAAATCAAGTATTACGTCATGGCTGAAAGGAACAGATGCCAAGAGTACTGATCCCAGCTCTGATAGATCACGCACACCCATTGGGAATGAGGAGGATTATACATTGGCTAGGGTTACCATATTTGAACATCAAAAAAAGAGGACATCCTGAGAAACTTTCCTATTGCCTTATCTGGGAAGGGGGTCAGGATGGACAGGGTTTTCAAAATATCCCAGGTTTTATGTTCATTGTTAAAGTAACTGTGATGATGCTTGACTGTGTGAAATACATACTGTAAGTCCCCTCTGCTGCAATAACAGTATCCTCTGTTTTGCTGCCAGATTTTACAAAAGAATCTGTTAATTTGGTTGACGAACTCTCTCCAAGAATTGCCTTTTTGCGTTTGTCTGAGTCAACAGGAGCTTGCAAGTCAAGGACACCTTTATTTGCCACGGAGACAAAAGTATCAGGCTTACACACCAAACATTCAGCTTCCCAGTCTTCCCATGGAAATGTATTTTTTAGTTCTGATGTGAATTTACACTTTCGCTTTTGGCATTTGAGGGTAGGAACATGAGAAACAAAATAGGGAACCTTTCGAGGGAATGCTTCTGCACTCCACAGAAAGAGTAAAGACGCCTGATTTTGCTCTCTCATGAAATAATCATACACGTACAGGATGAAAACTGAACGACAATGTAGGTCCCGAAGCGAACTAGAGAAGTTAAGAAACTCTCTCTTTCTAACCATCTTTATAACTTTTGTTAATTATTCTTCATGGTGAAATTAATGGGATCAAAATCCCGGAGATTTCTGGATATTTGAAAATTCCTCCCAGATGGAGACATAAGGATCAAAATAGAGGACATGGCTGGGAAAATCCGGATGTATTGTAACCTTATCGGCCACCAATACTAGTTCTTCTGCTGAACTTGGCATAGACAGCACTGCTAGTGTTAGCAAGCATTGGAAAATGGCTACATGGTGGTATGATCCAAATTGACTAAGTGCTCAGTGCTATTTTTATTATATGTGTGTGTGTGCGCAC